TATACGCTCGGAGGACTATAGAATTTACTATAGTGTAGCTACACTATAATTAGTATAGAATTAGCTTCTTAGCGGTTTCCTACTTCTCTTCTAAAATGATACTATACCTCGTCGTCGCTATTTCTATAGTATATACCCCTCGAAGGTGTTATTAATAGCGCGGTTACTAGACTATTAGCTTAATAAGATTAAACGCCTATTCGACGAGAGCGAGTTGTCTAATATCGCTATCTCTAACCTACTAAATGTCGCTAGGCGCAGTATCGACAAGATCTATAATAATTATCGCCTATTTAGTATATTCTATATTAAAAACCTTGCGAGGTTAGGTCGTCTATAGTCGCTATTACTAATCTTTAAGGATATAGGTAGTATTATATCGCCTAGCGTATATAGTCGCAGTTTAACTAATCTGCCTATTTCTATAGCGTATCTTCGAATTCCTTAACGACCGACTATATATCTACTAAGACGAGGTAGTATAGTATTTATACGACAAATACGACGTTATTATTAGCTAGTCGACGGTATTACGAGTACTAAAGAGGCGTAGCTAGACGAGGAAGAAAGCGATATAGTTTGCGGCGGAATAGAACTAGGACCTTCGAGACGACTTTAAAATAAGGCAAATAGCTATACTAGCGTATAAGGTAGTATATATCGATAAGAGCGCCTCTAACGAGCGTACTAGATAGCGGAAATATAGATATAGTCTAGTTAACTGCCCTATCTTTAAAGAAGGGTCGGCGGTAAGGTTAAAGCGATAGAGTGTCTTACTAGCTATATTAGTTAATAGTTATCTTAATAGCACTATTATCTACTAAGGTTCTATTACCGCGGAGATCTTCGAGGCATAGTTATAGTATATAGTACTACCTTAAATAGAGCCTAGTATATTTATTATTATAGATAACGCGTTAATCTACCGCACTTAGCGTATAAAGAATATCGTAGCGGCGGTAGGTATCTACCTTCGATATCTACCTCCGTATTCGCTAGACTTCAACCCTATTAAGTTGTTATTTAACGTACTTAAGGCATAGGTTAAGAAGCATATTAACGAGGCTAATTGCTTCGTAGACTTCGGCAAATTTATACGGTATACTATTAACTAACTAGATACTCAAACAATAGCAAGATCGTAGTTCTAGCGAGTAGGTTATCGCTAATATCGACCTTATAGTTACTCCCTTATAGTCTTACTTATACTAACTATTATCTCTAGCTTAGTAATACGGCTTCTTAACTCGTCTATCTCCTTCCTTGTTTTGTCTATAATAGTACGCGCAGTATTAGCAGCTTGCTCTTTTGTTATTGCTTCTATATACTATAGATCTAGCAATATTAGCTGTAGTAACGAGCCTCTTGAATTAATGGCTAACGGTAATACAGTAGTCGGTAATGTAGTAGTAGCGTCTCGTATAAGGTCCTCTTCTTCTTAACTATCGGCAACCTATAAAGAATTAGTTAAACCTATAGCGATACCTAATCGACATACTTCTAATACGCTACCGATAGCTATTACGATTAAAGAGCCTAGAATCCGGTAGATTCTAAGCCGTTTCTATTGCTAGTATTACCTCGAGATTATTTAAACTAGTGCCGCTAGTAGGTCGCTATTCGTATCGCAATCGAGTAGCGGTCCGAAGAGAACCCGCTTAGAAAGCCGGAATCTATAACGACTAATAGGGCATTACTACACTACTATAATAATACGTCTATATGCCCTCCTCGGTAGGAAATAATACTATTAGCTATACTAAATAACCTCCCGTTGTCTGTTTCAAAAAATATACAGATATAGTAAAGATACAGTATTAGTAATATATTAGGGAATTTGCGACCTTCTACCGCTTTCTCTACGCCGAGACTACCGAAATTTCGGCTTCTACTCGGCTTTACTCGGCGGTTAAGCTTAGCGGGTCTACGCTTAAGAAGCTAATTTTAACTACTCTAACTAGGTACTAGCGTAATACTATAACGTATTGTTTTTTATTGCTATAAGTATAGAGAGCCGAGACTGTATCTATCTAATACTTCTCTAATTTATACTATATAGAAATACGTAGTATTAGTAGAATAAGAAGCGATATTAGTTAAACTAAATATTAGCTATTAAGCCGCCGACCTATACCCGGAAATCCTCGCTTCTAGCTCGCTTCTATACTAAAACAGCGCTTCTATAGCTAACTAACGAATAGGCTATCGTCCGACTTATTAATACGACTAAGTCGCTACTTACGGACTTCCTTATTAATATATCGCCCTACTACGGCGATAAATCGAGCGTATTAGCCTTCCTTAAGTCTATAGCGGACCTAATCGCTTAATTTAACCCTTCTAAGCTGTTTAAGTAAGAAGTCGCCTTCCTCGTAGATACGCTTAATATTAGCTATATCGGCGTGTCGCTTACTCTAGCTGCTAGTCAACTCTTTACGCAACTAGCTAAAGAAGCCTATTAATTCTATATCGGCGGTATAAGATTAATAGGAAGCGATTAAGCCGCTAACTAGACTTGATTGCAGTCTAACTAGTAGACTAGAAGCCGGTAGACTAGAAATAGCGCCTCTACGACCCCTACTATTAGACTAGCTATAATAGTTATAGATTACTACTAGAGTTAGCGTTATTAGTGTCGTAGTACGTCTACTACTACTGCTACTACCTTGCTGTCTAAATAGATTAGACAACTGCTTGTCTCGTTGCTTCTATATCTTTAATACTAGTACCGCTCTAGGGTCGTCGATTATTAGCCTTCTAGCCGGATTAGCCTCTTGAGTCCCTTTAACCTATCTAGCGGCTATTTCCGGATAGATCTTATAGTAGTCTTCTGCCCTGTCCGGACTACTAAACTAGCATAATCTACCCTTATTTAGATAGTATCTATTCTTGTAGGGCTAGCGCTAAGTAAGGGCGTATCGTAGGTCCGTTAGAGAGCTAGTTAGGTCGCTATTATTATCGTTAGGAGTCGCTTTATTATCTTCCGAGCGCCCTTTAGCTAGTAGGGCAGCTAACTGTTGCTAAGTCGCTATATTCCGTAGCCTCTAAGAAGCCTGTTAAGTCCGCCGTAGTTGTTAAGTTATAAGCTTTTTAGCAATAGCGGTTAGCTTAGCTATAATAGCGAGTTTGAACTTAAGTCGTAGGCCCTTCTTGCCTTAACTATTCTAGATAGCTAGTATAGTATATACGCGCTTAAAATTAAGGTCTGTTATACTAGAGCTACGGTAGAAGTGTTTAGCCTTTACCTTGTCCGTAGAGGCTATAATAGTAGCGCTCTTAAGACTAAATATAAGTCGGTTATTAGCCTTATTACGCTAGTCGTTAAACTAGTAGTCTACGGCCTTACAAGGCGACTCGTAGCTTAGCTTACTCGGATAGTACTTACTTAGCAAGGCTTCCTTCTGCTTGTCTATATATAGGTTCTACTATATAGTATATTCGAATACCTCTCGCTCGTTCTCGTCGTCTTTATTTTCTTCTAAGCCGTAGTCTTTATCGATATCTACTTCTATAGAGTCTTAGCGCTAAGAAGTCGTTAAATCTAGCAACTCGTCGTTAGTATTTAGCTCTTCCGGACTATTACTTAATAGTAGTAGCTTTTTACGTCGTTGTTTCTTAGTAGCGGCGGCTTCGAGGGCTTTCTTCTTCTTCTTAGTAAGCTTATATAGTCGCTTCGAGGCTCTTAGTATACTAGCGTAGCAATAGAATAGACGAGAGAGTGCTAAAATGCCTAGCTCTTAACCTTGAGGCTTACTAAGAGGTCGTAAATAGATAGAAGTAAGAAAGGCTTTCGTACCGGATCGCATTCTATACCTAATTTGTATAGTGCGGTGGATACTCGGTAAAGACACTAATACGCGCTAATTTCCATCCCTCCGACAGCATAGCGCGACTTATTGCATAGCATAATAGAATATTTCTGTCAGCCTGCCAGGATCACTGCAGAGGCCGCAAGACGGTCTGATGACATTTCCAGCTGGGAGGAACCTGGTTGAGCAGCAACTTCACGCAAAACAACCACGCGTGGTAGAGCTCATCACTCGCACCGATATGCCGCCTGTCTTGAGCATACCACTTGATTTACTCCTCTCTCCTGCCCCGTCTTCCTCCCATCGTACTGTACAGCCATCTCCACATCTCCACACCTCCTCCACCTACCACGCCCACGCCCTTCTGTCATCATGGCGCTCGGCGGCCATGGCGAATGCTGTTATTCGAGCTTGGCCGATGCGCAATGCGCAAAAAAGAGCGCACCAAGGCCTCCATCTTTTTGCCTCGAACGTTGTCTTCTGGCCACGATAGCGTTGCCGCTGCGCTGTTTAAGATCGACGCCGGTGTTGTGCGTCACGCATTGACCGAACTCCTCTTTCTGCTAACCAAGACAGAGCTACCAGCGAAGGAAGGCGTTTCCTTCAACGGTACGTAGTCTCTGTTGACGTATATTCCATGGAACCTTCCACCTCGTCCATGGCTCTTATCGCGATTGTGTACTTCTCGTTGCTCTTGCTGCTGCCAGGCGTTCGCAGCGAGGCGTTGGCAGCTCGTGGCATCCATCTTGTGCCATTGATTCATCTCATCTACAACACCACCATCTCCCATCCCAAACCCCTATCGACCATATCAGCTACCTGCACATTTCCTATCATCCCTGAAGATATCCTAAATTGACCCTTTCGGCCTGTCGTCGCCACGGCCTTGACTTTAATCCCGCCAGACCCCATACAACAAACACCTAGGTCCTCCACCAACCCCTCAACAGCCGCAGCGACCTCCACAGCCGCAATCCCACCTTCGAGCAAGATGCTCACCGAATCACGCCCGGGCGGCGCTTTTATCAACATACCCGGCTTGGGCAATAAGGAACGATCGAACAAGAATGAGCTCAGACTACCCTTCCTGGGATTCCTCCCAAACAAGGCTCGCAACCACTTCATCGCCATGGTATGCTTGCCAACCAAACCTCCACCCCGTCATGGCAGACAAATTCTGTGCTAACCAACTTCCTCGTCCAGGTCGGAGAATTTATTGGCACCTTCCTCTTCCTGTTCTTCGCCTTCGCTGCTACCCAAGTCGCCAACGCAGCAGCCACCGGCTCTACCAATACGACTAGCATTGTCCAGGTGCCGAACACTAGCGCCCTTGTCTACATCTCCCTGGCATTTGGCTTCAGCTTGGCAGTGAACGCATGGGTGTTCTTCCGCATCAGTGGAGGTGAGTACCGCAGCATTATTACCTGCCAAGCCACGCCCAAGCTGACCGACCTTCAGGCCTCTTCAATCCCGCTGTAACTCTCGGAATGGCATTGATCGGAGCCGTGACATGGGTTCGCGCGGGCCTCATCTTTGTCGCGCAGATTCTCGGTGCCATGGCTTCCGCTGGTGTGGTGTCAGCACTCTTCCCAGGTCCACTCGCAGTGTCGACCACACTTGGAGGGGGCACATCCATCACTCGCGGTCTCTGTAAGTCAAACAAGCCTTTCTGAATCATCCCCCCTGCTAACATCTGTCAGTCATCGAGATGTTCCTCACCGCCGAGCTCGTCTTCACCATCTTCATGCTCGCCGCCGAGAAGCACAAGGGCAGCTTCCTCGCGCCCATTGGCATCGGTCTCTCGCTCTTCATTGCTCACCTTTCTGGTGTCTACTTCACAGGAGGTAAGCACACACCTTCACAACCTCCGCTTACAACATGATGCTGACCTTCTCTCCACAGCCTCCCTCAACCCAGCGCGATCTTTCGGACCTTGTGTTGCCCTTCGAAGCTTCCCCGGCTACCACTGGCTGTACTGGGTCGGCCCAGCACTCGGCGCACTCGTCGCAGTAGGCTTTTACCGATTCGTCAAGATCTTGGAGTATGAGACTGCGAACCCCGGACAAGACTTTAATGAACACGAGGCTGCGCAGTTCTCGTTCGATGAGGATAACGCGAGAGCGGAGAGCGCTACTCGACCAGTCCCATCAACCGAGGGCCAGCTCCAAGCCATGACGAGCCGCGACCGCGATTCTGCTAGCAACATGTATCCCACCCAAAGCCATGGTGGGCGTCCCTTGAGCCACGATTCTGCAAGTAACATGCATCCCGGCCACAGCCATCATAATGGGCGGACCAGACCTGATTCTTCGGGTAGACTGGATGGCTCCCTCGGCAGCGAGAAGTTCGAGGAGACGCCATACACCAGAGGACCTTCGGCGGAGAATGGCAACATGCGCCGGTAGAAAGGCAGGTCCATTCCGATGTTGGACAAGCTCGTTCGTTGGTTGTGATGTATGATAGAGCACGAAAAGAGATGGACATAGTACCGCCAACTTGGAGATGCAGGGCATGCAGTGATGGTTTTACAGAACAATGGCAAGTGGTATCTATCCACGGAACACTTGGTTCGAGCGCGGCGTTGGAAGACCTTACCCTTTGATTACGATGAGCGAATTGAGCCCTGTATATTTGAACATAAGTCATGTATTGCATAATGGTCACGACCATTTTATTACTCGGCTTCTTCAGCTTCCTTGACGTTCAGCACTTCTCTTCTCTTTTTTCGAAAAGTTTTACTGACCCGTTCCGCACGCTACTTCACATCACATCCACATATCGAGATCTGCCGGCCTCACAGGATTTCACCAAGCCTCGCGGACTGCATTGTGCAATGCACGGCCATCACTGCATTGCGCTCGCCATCTAGAAGACTATCGCCCAGTCCTTGAGAGCGCACACGGTTTTTTGAGTCTACTTCCTTCCTCCCACTACCTACCTGCTTTCTCCACGACGTTGCCGATCGAGAGTCGAATGCACAGAAGCAGACCGCGCTCAGAATGTTGGAATCGTGTATATCGAAGAGGAAAAATTTGTTTTCGGAGTGATGAATGGTTTGAGTCAGACCTCTCTCTATTGGATCTTGAACTTATGTGGTGGCCTTCTTTTATCCAGTGCTAGAATGGAAGCTGGAGTCTAAGTGCTTGAGATGGATAGAATCGCTCAGAGTCGTTGGGAGACGGCGAGGTTTTATTATTCGCTGTCCTGACTGATGCTAGAAATTTCGGCTCTGGTGCTTGCAAAGTCAGTTGACCTGATAAGCTCTCTCCCGAAAATCGGAATCGAGAGGAGGAGTGCCCGGTTGTTTTTCCTCGAGGAGTTGGAGAGTTCTGACTGATCGACAAAAGTGGACTTCACTGTCAAGTTTTCTCGAGATCCTTTCTCCCCTTCACATTCACGGTTCCATTTCAACGTCGATGTAGATGTGCCCTTTGTTTGTAGTTCATATACTCGAGGGCTTCGTAGAGGGTTGAATTTGTCGTACAGTATAACCTGAGGGATGAAACGTTGGCGAAAATCTTTTTTTAAGACTTTTTTTTTCAGGCATTCTATTCTTTTGATGCGGATTATAAGGTAGTGTTATGAGGTCTGCAGCTTCTCAGTTCTCGATAGCTAATTTATTCGAATAGCTCAGTTGGAAGACGATGCTTGTCGAGGTATCTATCATATGATGGTCGTAGGTTCGAAGGCGAAGTGTTTAGGCATGTTTAACTAGGTAATTAGCGGCTCCGAGTTGAGCTCGGAAGTCACCTTGTTCGTTGAGTACGATTCAGTGAAGAGACTGCGTCAAGGGTGGTTTGGTGCTAAGCTGAATCTGAATTGGTAGTAGTTCGATGCTCTTTCTTTTTTGTTGTAGTCAGTGAGGGCAGGGATTGAAAGCGACGACGTGTTGAGAATTCACCCAGCCTGCTTTCTTCCTGACTCGGCACAATTCAGGTCAAAGACTCAACGAAGCATGGGTTGAGACGGATTGTGCGAGGACGTATAGGTCTTCCGCTTTGGTGGGGATATTGTTACGACTCGGTGTCCGTCCTGCCTCAAGGCAGGGTATATTGTATATAACTTCCTCGCTCGGAGGAACTTAGACATCATCCAACACTTTGCATACCAAAACCGTGTCCGTTCACGCTCCACAACCTCCTGCGGTCAGCCAAGCGTACTGTTCCGCATTCTTGGCCTGGGTAGTAAGCTTCGTGTCCCCCAGATCGGCTGCGGTGCAAAGCTGGGATGTGTGGCCCTCTCCGCGCAGCGTGTAAACTACACGAACACAGACGTACCGCCAGGCATGATCGATCAGGTCCCAAGTCACTGCCGGTCGTCCGAGGTTACGTCGGTGCGGGTACGGCAGGCCGTAGCAGCTGAGAGAAGATTCGTACCCACGTGTCTACCCAGTCATCTCAGCTGATGGTCCTCTCTAAGTCCTTCTTAGGCGCTTCGATACTTCCTGCCTCCATCGAATATTAGACGGTCCGTATTCGGGCTGAGCTTGCGAACACGAGGCGTAGCTTGCTACCTTCTTACTACACGATCGAGGGTCTGCAGCTTAAGTCGATTTCTGATCATGAACTCCAATTTACTCCTCCGCCGTCTTCCTGCTCTTGAGATACTCATAGTGAGGCATCGATGCATTGACGAATTCTTTCACAAGAATCGCATTATCCTCGCCAAATTCTTCCTGCCATTTCTGCATTTCGCCTTCGATAACAACATTCCTCCTATCCTTACCCTGCAACAGTCCCGTCGAATTGAGCAAACTTTGTTGCAGTTGAACATATCCTGGGAGCATCTGAGCCTGCTCTTCTTTTGTCGCTGCAGGATGGCGTATTGTGAAGATAGGTACAGTGCCTGGAAGCAGCATGAGATCCTCCGGTATCATGGTGTAGTTCCTACCAGCCACAATTGGTCCACGATTCCAGTCGTTTAAAGCGAAGGAAAGTGCGAGATCTGGAGCCAAGGCAAAGTGTGGGTGCTCGTGAAGGGAAAGTGCTTTATTCTGGCCCTTGTTAGCATGCGCATACAATTGATGCGCGGACTGACTTGGCTTTGTGCATGTTACAGCTGATCTCTCCACTGCTGAGTTCCCATGGCAACGGCGTCCAAGAACGGCGCACATATTTCATCGAAATTCCGGCTGCGACAGATTCTTCTCGGAGACTGGCTTTCTCGAACGCCCGATCCACGATTGTAGGGCACTTGTGCTGTCAAGTTCCCAGGTGTATCTACTTCTCGATCAGGTTAGCAGCCAGCCTTTTCGACCAAATTCTGTGCTTACAAATTGTGTGTCGCACTCACCGCCGAGAAGTCGCCACTTCTTTGCGAAGCGTTGCAAGTCCGACACCACGGCGATCCGGGATTTGTATGGGTCTCAGGCAACATCCTGCCACCGATTTTGATTACTACGAACGTGCCGGTATCCGCAATTCGAAGACGTTTAGAAGCAGATCAGAAGACGTACGCAACTCCAACAGCCTCATAATGACTCGATCTTCATCGGTCGCGGGGGGCTTGTCGATGCGACCACTGCTGCTTGTCTTGTGTTGACAACCTCTTGCAGAGTCTCATCGATGTCATTCTCGTCAATTACAGCACCAAAACTGGATCTCGTCAGCGCACCGGCACGAAAGAATGTGGGAGTATGACCCTCTTACCGATAGCAATGCACTTTCCTCAACAGCTTCTCCTTCAGCATTGCAATATCGTTCACGGATAGCAATTTCATCCTTTCGTCCTGCATTAGTTTGATCCATGCTCGGACAGGCGGGACTTCGATCTCGTTGACTTGGAGCTGATTGCTCAAGTTGAGCAATTGGAGCAAGTCAGGCCGCTTTACTTGAGGCATCTGCGCCGGAAATTTCGACGCCGGACTATCCATGATGTGGCTGTACGTTGGTGCAGTGGCCATCAAAGTATGGCCTGAGATGTGCTGATTCTCTCCATCGTCAGGTACCTCCATAGGCCGCCCTGGCATTTCTCCATCTGCAGTCTGGAAATTGTGTGCCCTGACATGCAAGTACTGAATGTGACCCATGCATGGCTTTTCCAACCTACAGCTCGAATATTAGCATCTCAGAGAGGGTACGAGGCACCTAGAAGAAGGTGGTACAGTAGACGTACGTGAGGACAAAGTCGATGCCAAGCTCATCGTAATCGACGCCTCTGGGCGCGAGCTCTCGCATGAGCTGGAGGGTCTTCGTCGGTTCTTCTCTGCGAATCTGCTGCTCGTTCTTGATGGTCGGTTCCTGATAAGATGCTCCGTCAGATGCGAAACCATGAGCCTCTGAGAGCTCCCATACGCTTTCTTGACGCTCGGTGTAGGCATTATTAGCCGTCACTTCTTGGAGTGGTGCGTTAGCCAGAAGGCCATGATACCCATTGGAAGTCGACAGGCTGCTATTTCGTGTTGCATCACAAGTGATGGAAATTCCATCGTAGCCAGAATCGGTACCGCTAGAGGAAGTAGAGATCTGGACGATCTCCTTCAGCCGCAGAACTTCTTCTCTAAGCTGATCTCTCTCGTGAGCTATGGCATCCCGGGCCTGAAATGCAGCGTCTCGTTCCTGTGCGGTTTGAGTAAAGAGCTCCTTGAGACGCATGACTTCGAGTTCCAGATCCTTTGTGTACTGCTCCTTTCGCTCACGGTGGGTTCTGCAGCTCAGTAAGTATTTATACGGCTACTTACGAAGCTGTTGATTACCTCTGTGCTTGTCGATTGCGCTCGAGCTTTTCGCTGGGCGCAGGTTTGCTGTCTCGTTTCGGACCCGGCTTTTTGCGCCGCTGCGGCATGGACGGTAGTGGGCCTGAAGGCCTGGAAGCTCCATCGCCTCGAGTATCGACTACTCTCTAGTCAGAATGAAGCCGCAGAGTCCTGATATCAGCATCACCCAGTTGCCACGCACTTCCACAAAGCGCAGTGATGGCCACGTGATGTTCCGAAGGCGAAAGAGTTTCTTACCAGGCATGCCCTTAGAAAGTGCGGAATCGGCGATCAGAGGCCGTTGCGCATTCATGCTGATACCGTCGTAGGAGGTAGTCCACTGGTTCGCAGAGATGGGCTGGTTTGGGGCGTTTCCAGGTGTGTGGTAAGTAGAGAAAGCTAATATGTGAAGATGCAGGTGCCGATCTGCAGTGCCAATTCCGAGGTCGTGTGGAATCTGTGGATGCAGGACTAATGCGAGAAGCATAGTGATCTTCGCGGACGGCATTCCACGTGCTTGCTTGGGGATATATTCACGTCAGTAGTATCCGCGACACCGCCTTGTGATTCAATTCGCTAGCCTTACGACTTACACATCTTGCTCGAGCAGGTCAAATGTCTCACTACACATCTACCTCTATTCTACATGTGAATTCAACATTGCTGGGTTAAGGCACGTATGCGGCCCCGTCCCGCGCTGTGGGCCACTCAGCCAGACCGTAACACTTTCACAGCACCATCCCCTCGCAATCACAGCTTTGCTGGCTGATATGGAGTCTTCAGGTTGATGAATAATGCCTTCGCAGTAGCATACGGCTTCCCATGTTCATCCTCAGCCACGCCTTTCAGCCAAGACTTTCTCCCACTGATCTCGATGGGCCAAGATCTGAAGAGAATGATACACGGCGTTCTGACAGGTGCTTTATAGTCGACAGTCATAGTGACCGTGGCAGGCGGCTCGCCATCCGCGCTAGGGTTCTCCAGTTTTGCGACAGTTCCAGTGAGATGATCCAGTACCAGAGATGAGAAGCCTCCATGTCCGCGACCACTGAGTCCATCAATGCCTGCACCAATTGACATAAAGATACAAGTCTCATGCTTGGAAACAGAATCAGGCTCACTAGTCGGCCTTTGAAACAAGAATCGAGCTCGCACTCCAGTCTCATGTGATAAAGTAAGATCGAACAGTGCATTCGTTATTGATGTGTCGTCTGGTTCCGACGAGACCTCAGGTATGACTTTTATGTTGCTCGGGGAGAGAACCTTTTGGACCCATGGAGATGCTTTGAAGTCTGGATGGTCTCGCCCCAGCTCAGTTGATGAATATCTTGGTCGGCCCATGTTTGCTTATGTCATCGACTTGTCATTGCAAGATCATGAGCCAGATTCCGTGACGGAGTATGCCCGATACGCTCGAAAGTAGCCGTGAAAGGCTCAAATCTGGAAGTATCTGTGCCGACTTGACCTTCACAGCCGGAGCTGACTGCGATCGTGAACCGGTTGGTGGTAGAGCTTATTCGCTGCGTCTAGCAAGAGCTTGCCACTTGTTGCGGTATTTGGAGAGCAGGTTCGTCAAGCCGGACGCATTCTGTTCAAGCCGTAAAAGTGACAATGTCTTCTGACAAGCGCAGTGAGTGTCGTTGTTTCCTCCTTGGCGGACATGGATGTCAGCACAACCTCGGCTCCATTTTTTCGGCTGACTCGCGGCTGATTTTGAGTTCGGCAGATGACCTCATCTCCTTCGCAGTCATCTCCGTCCTCCAGCAACAACACCTTCATCGCGAAATGATACTGCACCAACAACTCCATGTCACCTTCGATACAAAACATGCTAGACTGCATTGCCATTGACACGCCAAGAGCGGTCAGATAACCGAACGAGATGGAGCCGAGGAAAAATGCCGGAATCAGGACTCGCGTCGGCCTTCTCTTGAATCACAAATGGGACGGATATCCACCAAAAAGTCCTACATTCGGCTCCCAAACGTAGCTCCAATCACTCGGATGACTTTACCCTCCGCTTGGTTCTAGAGCGGCCGCACGAATGCACTCCTACTCTTGGCCCTCTTGGTATTCTCGACATTTGCGGGGGAAATCGCATTTGACGAACCAATCTCTGCCGACGATGCGCACATGGAGACTCAACGACCGCTTATTCCCAATTCCCCGTTGGTCAACAGGCCAGACATCGCAGCCACGAGGTTGTAGCGAACACGTGCGTACTCGTGTCTGCAGATCTTGCATGCTTGGCTCACCTTGGGACTGGATTGTCAAGGCTCCTGTGCCGTCTTCACAGCATGAAGTTGTCGGGTTCGTCGAAATGGAGTCGGGAAGCATGTTCCTGGTGGGTTGTTGCGGTCGTGCTGGATGCCGGAGCAGGCATATATCCCTGGTAAGCGGCCGTGCCTGGGAGCATGTTTCTAGTATTGTGGTTCATCTGTTCTCCTACCTGTGTCGTTCCTCCTGCTGGTGAAAGCTTCACCATGGCAGAAGTTCATGCTCAACAGAAAGATTTTTCGGACAAAGATCCCAGATTCATAGATCATGTGGAGCACGTCGCCGCCAGTTCAGACGATGAAGCGAACGAGAAAGGCACTAATGGCCAAGTCATCCGTGACTGGACACCTGAGGAGGAGAGGAAGATTGTGTAAGTGGGACCATCACTCAACGCTGTTCCTCCTCTCCCTGACGGCATGCAGATGGAAAGTCGATCTCCGAGTCTTCCCTATGCTATGCATCGTCTTCGGCCTGTCCCTGCTCGATCGAAGCAATATCAGCGCCGCCTATATCGCCGACATGGATATCGATCTCAGCCTGACAGGGTCTCGCTACAACATTGCTCTGCTTGTCTTCTTCATTGGATATGGCCTTTTTGAGCTGCCGTCAAATTATGTCATCCGACGCATCGGAGCCCGATGGTGGCTATCGTTCTTGATCACATCATGGGGAGCATGCGTTCTCGGCATGGGCTTTATTGATCACTGGAGCATGCTTACTTTACTACGTGCCCTTCTAGGTGTCTTTGAAGCTGGTAAGTCTGCAACTTGCCCTGCTTCTAGAACCGTGCTGACATGGGTAACCAAGGATTATTCCCAGGAGCGATCTACATCATAGGATCATGGTATCGCCAGTTCGAGACCGCTCGACGTATCTCAATCTTCTACATGGCTTCTCTCATTTCCTCAGGCTTTGGACCCATCTTCGCTTACGCATTGTCACTCATCTCCGTTGGTAACGGAAAGTACCAACAAGGCTGGAGATGGATCTTCATCATCGAAGGGATTGCCACAATAGTCGCAGGACTCGTCTCACCATTCTTCCTGATCGAGTTTCCCGAACGCGTCAAGTTCTTAGACGATCGTCAGAAGCACATTGCCTTGGAACGTGTCAAACTTGAGAAGGCCGGCAAAGAAGTCATCCATCTGACAGCAAAGGAAACATTAAAAACGCTCATCGACTGGAAACTGGTGCTATACATGCTCTGCTACTTCGTGGCCGCAAGCAGTGTTTACTCCCTCGCATTCTTTTCCCCGATCATCCTTCGCCAAGGCATGGGCATGACCTACACCGAAGCCCAACTTCTCAGCTCCCCCCCTTACGTCTTCGCCATCATCGCCTCAATCGCCATGGCCTGGGTATCCGACAAAATCAAAATGCGATGGCCAATCCTCAACTTCCAAGCTTTAGTCGCTATCATCGGTCTCCTAATCGTCCTCTACGCCGGACCTCCTGGTGTACGATACTTCGGCCTCTTCCTCGCCGTCTACGGCACTCAAGCAAATATCCCCGCGACACTCACATATGGTCAGAATCAGACATCTCGCCTCGAAAAGAAAGGCGTCGTCGCAGCCGCGATGATCAGTGCCGGCGCTGTGGGTGGAGTCTGCGGATCTACAATTTTCAGAAGCCAAGATGCGCCGCAATACTTACCTGGAATGTGGGCTACGATTGCTATGCAGTTCGTTTACATCATCATCACTTTCAGTTTGTCTATGTATTTTAAGAAGCAGAACAAGCTGGCGGATCAAGACAGGAAGATCTTAGAGGGAGTGGAAGGGTTTAGATATGCTCCGTGAAGCTTGGACATCAATAATATGACAACTCAACAAAAGTTGGGGCCCCTTTAGGCTTAGTGCGGCTCAAAACGACCGAAAAGCCGACTCTGATTGGTCGGCGGCGAGGAACTTCAAAATTTCTCGATTCTCGCGCGGTCCGGAGGGCGTAAGAGTCGCGGGATCGACTATAACGCTCCGGCGCCGCGATAGTAGTGTTTCCGAGGCCGTCTCCGTCGTTTACGCCTAATCCGGCGGCGTTTTTTGCTCGAGGCGGTATCGTTCGCGCCTAATCCGGCGGTATTTACTCGGAGCGGTAGGCTCGAAAGGCTTATCCTACGCGTTCCGGATAGTACTACTCGCTATAGGCGTTTTATAGAGTACTTATAGTAGGCGTTAGATAAGGTACTCGCTATAAATAGTTCGAATCCTATTTAACTATAGGCGTTTTAGATAGTATTTGCTATAAGCGTTTCGGATAGGACTACTCGCTATAGCTATCTCGGACAGTTACCGCTATAAGCGTTTCGAATATTACTACTCGCTATAAGCGTTTTTAGTAGTATTTACTATAAGCGTTTCGGATTAGACTTGCTATAAGTATTCTAAATAGAACTTACTATAGGTATTTTAGATAGTACTACTTGCTATAAGCGTTCTTAATAGTACTTGCTATTTACGTTCCGGATAGACTTCCTCTACGCGTTCCGGATAAGACTTAGTATAAGCGTTTCGGATTAGAATTGCTATATAGTGCGTTCTAAATAAAACTTAGTATAGGCGTTATAGACAGTAGTACTAACTGTTAGCGCTCCGGATTAGAGTTATTAGACTTACTATACGCGTTCTAAATAGTACTTAGTATTATAAGCGTTCTGAATTAGACCTATTATAGGCGTTATAGATAATAGTTAGCTTATCCTACGCGTTCCGGATAGTACTACTCGCTATAGATATTCTATAGAGTACTCGCTATAGGCGTTATATAGGGTACTCGCTATAGATAGTTCGAATGCTATTTAACTATAGGCGTTTTAGATAGTATTTGCTATAAGCGTTCCGGATAGTACTACTCGCTATAGGCCTTCCGGATAGTGCTTCGTATAAGTATTTAGTTTCGGATTAGACTTAGACTTACTTTATACATTCCGGACAAGACTTTCTGTAGGCGTTTCGGATTAGATTATTAGACTTGCTATACGCGTTCCGGTTTATATAGGACGAACTATACTAAGCGTTTAAAATAAGGCTTGTCCTACGCGTTCCGGATAGTACTACTCGCTATAGATATCTTAGATAGTTACCGCTATAGGCGTTTCGAATATTACTACTCGCTATAGGCGTTTTTAGTAGTATTCACTATAAGCGTTTTAGATATAACTTGCTATAAGTATTCTAAATAGTACTTACTATAGGTATTTTAGAAAGTACTACTTACTATAAGCGTTCGTAATAGTACTTACTATTACCGTTCTAAATTAGACCTACTATACGCGTTCCGGATAGTACTTACTCTACGCGTTTCGGATAAGACTTAGTATAGGCGTTTCGGATTAGAATTGCTATATAGCGCGTTCTAAATAGAACTTGGTATAAGCGTTATAGATAGTAGTACTAACTATTAGCGCTCCGGATTAGACTTGCTATACGCGTTCCGAATAGTACTTACTAAGTTACTATTATAAACGTTCTAAATTAGACTTTCTATAGGCGTTATAGATAGTAGTTAGCTTGTCCTACGCGTTCCGGATAGTACTACTCGCTATAGGTATTCTATAGAGTACTCGCTATAGGCGTTTTATAGGGTACTTACGGCCCCTTTAGGCTTACTACGGCTTAAAATAAGCTAAAAGCCGACTCTACTTAGCTATAGCCGAGGAACTTTAAAATTTCTTAGTTTACGAGCGGTTCGGAGATTATAGGAGTCGTAGTATATAGTTCG